CACGCGCCCTATAGCAAAAAAACCTCTCAAAAAAAAAAAAAAAAAAAGAAAAAAAAAGAAAATAACTCACTATTGTCTATTTGATGCCAGCTACTATGGTTGAAATTCTCTATACCCACTTGCTTTAAACAAACATTTTTTTAACTTTGCTGGATAGTGCATGTGCTTGCCAGAGAGACAGAGATAGAGAGAGAGAGAGAATGTGAGAAAGCATTCTCCCATGGAGGATAGTCATGCCACAATCCCTTCTCCTCCATTTCTCCTTTTTTTCAAGAATTTGGGCACTGACACACAGGCACCCAGCATATTTTTCAGGTCTGGTACTCAAACTGTGCAGCAGGCCATGTGGGATCCAGTCACCTTAACCACAGTGCCAGCTGTTGGCCCTCTGCACTTACTTTTTTACAACAATGAAGTAGGAACAATTAACTTCAAGTTTTTCTTTTTTTCCCTTATTCAGATTTTAGATTCACCTTAGGCCTTTGTTACTAAACCTGTTTTCCAATTTTATTTGTAGGTAGCTCTTTATTACTCTTTTCTTCTCAGTTCAAGTCAGACATTTATTTAATGTCTTCCCATACAAGACATTATCCTAGGCATTGAAAGAGTAGGAGACCCCAAGAATGGGATTGACACAGTTCCTTCTGATGAAGAGATGATAGTTGAGTTCTAGTAAAGTCGCTCATACCTGAGGAAGTTGGTGTTTGTCAGTGACACTAAACAGGACTAGCTTTAAATGGCACTCATAGCATCAGGTTTTCATTTTTAAATTTAAATAGTTTAATTTTTCTCTACTATAAAATTAGCTTGATTGTTTATATTATGAAAAACCTGGTAAATACAGAAAAGTGGGGGGACCAGCAGTTGGTGTAATGGCTATGTCGCTGGACTCCCGTGTAGTCGACCACGGTTTGAGTCCTGGACCTGGTGGCTTAAACTCATGCCAGGCACATGTGCGTGCATGCCCAAGATCCCAAGAGGAGAATGGAGGAGAAGAGATTGCAGAGTGGCCATCCCACCTGGGGGGTGATTTCTTGCTTTCTGTCTCTCTGGATAATCACTCATCACCCAAAGATAATCCCTTTTGTCATCTTGGTGATTTTTTTACAGTCTTTTTTTTGGGGGGTGGGGCCTGTATTTAAAATAACCGAAATGTTACCCTATCATGTGACAGTAGTGTTTTGCATCCCTATTTTTCAGTTAGCATTTTAAAATAAGTAAGCATTTATGAAATATTCAATATGTGCCAGATACTTTTATTGAATCATAGTATTATTATTTGACTTATGTAACTCCATACGATAGACAATAAAATATAGCTCAATTAGGTGGTTTGTTCAGCTTCATAAATTTCAATCCAGTTCTCTTGAATTTCTGCCAGAATTAATATTTATAGATTTCAAAAAAAAAATGCCAGAAAGCATGTGTGCTCACCAGAGAGAGAGAGATACAGAGAGGTGGGAAGAAAGCACTTCTCAATCTCTTCTCTTTCATTTCTACATTCTATCAGGACTTTGGGTACACGCACAGGTGCCTCACATGTTTTTACAGCTTCCTAGGTAGTTTTGAACCACAGTCGTCCATATGAGATCTGGCTCCCTTAACTATGAGACTACAGGGCTGGCCCTACAAATCCTTTGCATTTGTATATAAATATTTAATAGCTACTACAATCATTAGATTTCCAATTTTATCAAATGTTACTACTTTAGCTCCTCCACCCTCATGACCTAACTTGAGCTAATTCAACCTAAGATGACCCAAACCCAACCCAGCTGACCCAAACTTACCCAGTACAATGACTACCATATGGGTTGCCTTCTTTTCCCGAAGTGGCACTGCCCGAGGTTGCAGGGGCCCCAGCTTCAGGGAGGTTGACAACCTGCCATTACTGAGTTTTCGAACTTCTAAGCTAAGCTTGGGTGCCATGTTTGGGCTCAGGGAGTTCCGAGTCCTCTTCTCCCTTTTCAACTCTCCTTCTCCTTCTTGGAAGCCTGGTCGCCTGAAGGCAGTATCCTGGCAGATGCTGTAATAGCGCTTGAGCTCCAGGTGTGTCCGGCCAGTAGAAAGGGGCTGCAGATGTGACAAGAGCGGGTCCTGACATTTCTGGGGATATTGCTTATCTTCTGAATGTTCCTTGAAGGGAAAAAGAGTGCAAGGAAGGAAGAAGAAACCATTACTGTGCGGAGCCTACAGAGAGAGCCTCTGAGAGTGTAGTGGATCCATGGAAATGAAATCTGCTTCTGACTCTACAACTACAAAACACCTAGCACATATAGAACATCTGATAAACACTAGAATCCCTTGAGGAAGGTAGCATAGGACTATAGTCTGACTTTTTAAAATAAGAATGACCAGGCTATACAGAAGGACATGTTAAGTGACACCACTGGGATGTAAGCAGCAAAATTTGGAATGAGGGAAACTCTACAAGACAAATGACTGTTTCTTCAATAATAAATTGTAACAACAACAACAACAACATTTACCAGTTGCAGAGTTATGACTGTATTTGACTTTTGATTGAAACAACTCAACTGTAAAAAATTTATCAGACAATTGGGGAAATTGGACATTAATTGGATATTTAATGACATTAGGGAACTATAATCATCATCAAAAAATATCAGGTATCAAAAGTTTATTAGATAGCATGTTTTAGTGTGATGTGGCATTGTAGTTATGAGTTTTATGAGAGTCTGAATTCTTTGGAGGATCTAACAGAAACAATTTCAGTTGAAATAATATGTTATTTGGAATTTGCTTCATAGCAATGAAATGGGGGTGTGTGAATGTATGTGGGCGTCTGGATGAAATCAGACTGGCCATGGTTGATAGTTGCTGAAGCTGGCTGATGGCAACTTCAGGGTTTATCATATTTGTCTTTCTACATTTTTAGTTTTGAATTTTTCTATAATAGAAATTTAAAAAAAGAAAAAGGAAGAAACCCAGGATTTTTATCTTAGTTTTCCTACTTAGTAGGTGAATCCCTGGGAGACTTAATTTAAAATCTTTGAACTTCATATGAAACACAGAAAAGAAACTAGGAAAAATGGGTTTGGTGAATACCCTCTGAGAGTAGAAAACTGAAGACGTGTGGATTTTTCTCTGATATTTGGGGGAGAATGTCCCCAACATCTGAATTTCTTTCTATGTTTGAACAATCAGACCCTTGAGTCATTCTTGAATAGGTGGCAGGACTCCCCAAAAGCCATATTCACTCCGCATCCCCCTGCCTCCCTAGCAGCAAGAGCTCTGGCACATGAACCGAGCACAGCCAATTGAAGATTCACACTTGAGACTTTAAACTGAAAATAGCAAAAAAGGGAGACTTCAAATTCATCTAGCAGTGGTGACATTCAATCGCATGACCTTGGTCTACTAATCAGATTATTCCTTAGGCATAAATAGCATCTTCCTGAAACTGTTCTCAGCCCTCTCACTGAAGCTGTGAGTTACCCAACAACTTTTCAGTCAATTCCCTTTCTATGTAAGTTAATTTGCGTCAGCAACCAAAATCCCTCACTCCTCTCTCCTTAGTTCAGGGAATCACAGTCATTCAGATACATGGTGCTGACACGTTTTACACAGAAACACTGTTGAATGAGTGGATAAATGGGTGAATATAAGGGATTTTTTTTTTTTTGGAGAGGTTTTTGCTATAGGGTGCATGCACTCGCCAGACAGAGAGAGACAGAGAGACAGAAAGCGAGAAATCACCTCCCAGGGGGCATGGCCACGCCGCAATCCCTTCTCCTCCATTCTCCTCTCGGGATCTTGGGCACACATGCACATGTGCCTGGCGTGAGTTTTAAGCCACCGGGTCCGGGACGCGAACCACGGTTGATGACGTAGGAGTCCAGTGACATAGCCATTACACTAACTGCTGGTCCCGAATGTAAGAAATTTTCAGAGTGAGTTAGTGTTTTTAAAACTGTGCTTGGGAACCAGCAGTTAGCGTAATGGCTATGTCGCTGGACTCCCACGTAGTCGACCGCGGTTCGCGTCTCGGACCCGGGGGCTTAAATCTCACGCCGGGCACGTGTGCGTGCGTGCCCAAGATCCCGAGAGGAGAATGGAGGAGAAGGGATTGCGGCGTGACCATCCCCCCTGGGGGGTGATTTCTCGCTTTCTGTCTCTATGTCTCTCTCTGTCTGTCTGGCGAGCGCACGCGCCCTGTAGCGAAAACCTCTCCAAAAAAAAAAAACAAAAAAAAAAAAACTGTGCTTCACAGAGATATTCTGGGAGAACATATTTGAAAATATTTTTGGTCTTCATTTTGATGGGATTTTGTAATAATTAATATAAGCATATTCTTTTTATCAGAATGACCATTTACAACCAAGATTATGTTTATGATTAAGCTGGCATCTGTTGACGGTCTCAAGATGACAAAGTTTAACTCCTAGTACATTATTTTTAGAACTAGGAGACTGGGGACAAATTCTTGGGAGTGCCTATGAAATCTCAGATTTGAGAACACTGATCTAGTATATACCTTGTTTCCATTTTATAAAATGTGGAAATTCAGTCCTACAAGAGGAAAGCGATTCTTCCAAGGTTATATATTTGTGAAAGTATTTTTTAGCTCTTTCTACAAATTCTGATCTCTACCTCTCTGATGGACATGAAGAAACACTAGATCCCTCTGGGTCTGGCTGGCAGAGTCCTCCACTCCTGGGTGGCAGGGCAGAGCCTAATTCTCCACACTCTTGACAATACCAAAAATAGACCCCAAATATTTTCAAATATGTTCTCCCAGAATACCTCTATGAAGCACAGTTTTAAAAGCACTAACTCACTTTGAGAATCCCTTGCATTCACCCATTTATCCACTCATTCAACAGTGTTTCTGTGTAAAACGTGTCAGCACCGTGTATCTGAATGACTGTGATTCCCTGAACTAAGGAGAGAGGAGTGAGGGATTTTGATTGCTGACGCTAATTAACTTACATAGGAAGGGAATTGACTGAAAAGTTGTAGGGTAGCTTGTCTTTCCAGTCTCTCCTTGGTAGTCATCAGTTTCCCTCTTTTGGTCTCTGACCCTTCCCAGATCTTACCTGCCATAGGCAACTGTAAGTCACTTTTCTATCATTCATCATTTATAGCCTGTGTAAAAAGTGGTTGATTGGGACCAGCAAATTATGTAATGGTTACATTGCTGGACTTCCACATAGTTGACTGCAGTTTGAGTTCTGGACCCAGTGGCTTAAAACTCATGCAAGGCACATGTGCGTGTGTGTGTATCCAGGATCCCAAGAGGAGAATGGAGGAGAAGGGATTGTGGTGTGGCCATTGCCCTCTCCTGGTGGGGGGCAGGGGATTCCCCACTTTCTGTCTCTCTGGTGAGCGCACATGCCCTACAGCAAAAATCTCACACTCTAAAAAAAAAAAAATAAGTGGCTAATTATACAAAGATTCGACAAAGTTCAGACCTTCATCAATATGGGTTCTTGAAGTTTTATTCCTATTGTGGAATTCAGGGAAAGGAAGATTGGTCTTATATTTGACATCTCTAGCCTTCATTCTGCAGGCAGGAAAAGCAGGGTTGGCTTGAACTGAAGGACCAGGCTCAGCGGGACCATGAGGTAGTCTTGTCTTGTTTTCCCCACATTCAGCAAATGGAAGAGTGACACTCTTCTTTCTCTCCTTTTCTTGGTTCTGCCCACATGTGTTTCATGGACACCCTGTCCCCGCTGTTGCTCTGGATGGCATATTCACACCACATCCAAGAGTCACGGGCTCCAGGTATCGAGATTCAGGTCATTAGCCGTATTAATACTGTTTGCGAAATCTTAACCTTAAGCTTACATCAGGCAGAATCTCAGATCTTGTCCTGTATTATTGACATATCTATGGAACTGGGGATTGGTTCCTCTTAGAGGTGGGAGTGGAATCAAGATAAGCAAGCATCTTGGGAGAAAATCTCTTACTCTTTTTCACAACCAAAGACACATATTACTCACCATTTTTCCTGTGTCATCTGATGAAAATCTGGCCCTTATTGAAAACTGCCGAATGGGGTGCAGCCGCAGACAGGAAGACTATAGCAGATTGAAGGAGAAACAATCACCTGGGGGTTAAGCTGTTCATACTTGTGACGTGTTGTATGTAGCCATGTAGCAGGATAATGATGTGCATACAAAGTGCTCATATCCTCATCCTTGAGTCCTGACCTCTTATTTCGTAGGGACCAATAGTCCTGCCCACCCACGCTTCGGGCCTTCAACTTTGAGATCCGACCTTAACTCAGGTAGTTAAAGGTTAATCTAGACGCCTGACTTACATCTGTCTTCAAGATCAAACTCAATTCTTACTCTTATGAAGCCCTTTCCTTAGCACACTGGTCTTTCTCTTAGAGCCTCCACAGCTCTTCATATTTAAGAACTTAATTGTCTAGCAAACGTCCCATTCAGTTTTGGGCTGTTCATTAACTTTGGGTGAAGGTGTGCTTTAGTTGTCTTCTAGATTCTATGCTCCATGAAAGCAGACAGTTACATAATGTCCCGACTGTCCCTTCCCTGGTAGATCGCAAGTAATCATTATTCATTCATTTAGGTTTAAAATGTACAGTGGGTACAGTCCTATGTGCCAGGAACTGGGGTGGGCAGAATTTAAAGCCTAGGCAATTAGAAGGTCAGTACTGAGTCAATGACCTTCCTTTTCAGAGCCTAGAAAGATCCAATATGTTGGGCCAGTTCCATGGCCTAGTGGGTTAAGGGATTCAGATCCCACGTGGTCAACAGTGAAGTTCAAATTCCAACCCTGGAGGCTTGAGAAACATGCTGGGTGTGTATGTGTGTGTGCCCCAAATCACAACAGAATAGAGAAGGGAAGAGAATAGAGAAGGGAGGAGAAGAGATTGCAGTGTGACCACACCTCATTGGGGGTGCTTTCTCTCTGTCCCTGTCTCTCTCTCATAAGTGCACATGCCCTCTGACAAATGACCCAATATAATGCATCATCAGCACCCCATTCCATCAGCTGGTCAAGGCTTTGATATGAGAACAGATTTGGTGTAGATAGATAGATAGATAGATATACATAAAAGGCATTGATTCCAGCTATTCTTGGAATAAGCCAGTTCTGGAACCCATCAGCAGTGTACCCTACAGCTGCCACACTCAATGCTCAAACCCTGTGGGACACCCCAGTTGCTAGCCATTTGGGGGAAATGAAATACTTTGAAGAGAAGCAGAACAATCCCAGAAATACTCTGGTCATCTTGCCAAGTAAAAGTGAGCTCTAGAGAAGCCCATCAATGCACTCTTGGGATTGGATTTCCTACTTTCAAACAGAACCAATAGTGGCAGATTAGAAAGTAATCATTGGTGGGGGGGGCGGCAGGTGGTGGGTGGTGAAGGGTGCTGGACTCCCACATGGCCGACTGTAGTTCGAGTCCTAGTCCTGGCAGCTTGCTTTCTCACTTTCATTTCTCTTTTTCTCACTGTGTCCCTCTCTGGTCAAGTTAAAATGAATATATAAATAAATAAAGTTAAATAAAATAATTTTTTAAAAAAGAAAAGAAGCATCAGATCTGTGTCTCCAATCTGTCTGTACAGGCAAAATCATGCCCTGCTGGACCAGGCTGGAGGCCAGGGGTTGGATATTTTTTTCCCTCTGTCCTCGGCAGGGTGCTTACTTGCTGGGGGAAGCCAGGCCTGACACTGAGGCACTGACTGTTCTGTCGAGTGAGGATCCGTTTCCGTCTTCTCTGTCTCAGCACCACATAGATCCTGGCGTAGACCAGAACAGTCACTCCAAAGGGCAGGTAGAAGGACACCACAGAAGAGTAGATGACAAAATCAGGATTGGAGATAGAACAGACACTGGGGTCCCCTGTGGGCGAGAGAAGGGGAGAAAGCAGTTTGCCAAGCATCCGAGCCAGGAGGGAGCAGAAAACACGGCCTCATATCACACATGGTGCCTCCACCTCCTCATGCACATGGCGTGGGGGAGGGTGCCGACACTCACGTTGTCAGCTCCTAAAGGGTGGGATGTCTAATTCATCTTTGTGTTGCTCACAGTTCATTTAAAAAGAAAATGTACCAACGATTATGTGCCAGACATTGCTCTGCACGGAGCCTGTGAAGATGAATAAGATACTACGTCTGCCCTTGGAGGAGCAGAGTCTAGACAAACAGATGATCCCTTCCATATGATGTGGTAAGTGTCACCTAGAGGGACGCAGCCTGGGAGGCTGTCACAGAGCAATAGGGCAGTGGCTCCTAGAGAGCTGCAGTCCCCCCAAAAGGGCCTGCTGGTGTGGAGGCATTAAAGGATTGTTGGAATGTAATGAAAGGAAGAGGCTTTTTTGCTGAGAGTGCCAAGTCTTCCATTTTGAATCTGGGATGCAGGGAAGATGATGACTCAATGCACAACAGGGATTCGATTTTTCAGGAAATCCTAGGTACTGGTCAGGGGTATAATGGGAAGAAGGCTGACGAGGACATTGTTGCTGTGGAGAATGTACATTCGGAGGGATCCTGTTCTTGCTTTGTGGATGGAAATGTTCCTGCTACTCTGCCTTAGGACGCCCCTTTGCCTGTTTAATGAATAGATGTTGAGATTACTCCAGTATCCAGGATGGGACCTGAAACTTGTCCCATCTTGTAAGGAAAAAAGGAAGCAAACTAACATCTTGCAGGTGATATGTCACGGGCTCTGTACATTTGTACTATCATTATGGCAACATTATGAGAGGCCATTACTGTCTACATATGGATGAGCAGATTAAAGCTCAGAGAGGTTCCCTAAGTGGCTCAAGTTTGCACAGCCTAAAAGATACACTAGAGGAGTGTATCTAGCTAGTGCAACTCTAAAGCCAATGTTCTGTCTGTAATTTTGATGCTCTGCCTCCCTCTAGCACTGTGACATGGCACACTCATGACTTGTCTAGCACTGTCAGCAGCAACTATTAGCACACCCAGCCCATCTTCACCAAGAGCTGGAGATTCTCCACGCCAATATCTGGTTTAGAAGATGTAGCTCAGCTGTGAGCTGGTGGGGAGAGGGCAACAGCCACGTGGCCCCCTTACTTTGCTTTTTGATCTTCTAAGGTAGGTAGAAGCCAGACAACCCTGGGTGTGAGAACCCCAATCTGTCACTTATTAGCTGTGATCTTGAGCATATTTCTTAACTATCTCAAGCCTCAGTGTCATTACCTGTCTTTTGTAGTGGCTGTGAGAATTAATGATAATAATTGGCAATTATTTTTATTATTTATTTATTATGATGTACCTCTTGTGAACTCTTCAAACTTAAGTGGAAAGGTAATATTTAGAAGAGAAATTTGGAGAGACTTTCAGGGAACAATATTCATGGGGGAAGGAAGGGAACAGCAGCTAAGAACTAAAATAAAAAGAAGAGCTCAGTGCTCAGTGAGGCATTGCAATGACAATGCTGCCACCAGAATCTTTATAAGCTGCTCCTAGGTTCTCTGGTTCTCTTGGGGACAGCGTATAATTCAGGCAAGACTTATCTCATCTTGGCGAATACAGTGTCATCATTCTTAAGAAATAGTTCATAGGCTCTGGGCAGTGGTCACTCATTGGCACTTTCTGATATTATGGAGTGATAGGAGAAGGAGAAGGGAGGGCATGGCAGCGGGTGGTCTTTCTAAATCTCTTTGGATCCAAATCGACAGTAATCAGCCTCTCTCCTGAAACCAGCCCTTCTGTTGTCAACATCTGAGCATGATTTAAAAGCCTCCTATAAGGGAAGTAACTCAGCACATTTTGGCTATAAGGGGCCAGAAAGGTGGTGGACCACTTTCCCACGATGCATCTTGTTTCCATTCTTAGTGTGCCTGAGGAGGTCTCATTTGTTCTTCCACATATACTCTCTACTCTGCCTGGATTCTGGGAAGTTGACCTCTAAATTCTTTATTTGAATGACTACTTTTTAAAAGTTGAGGTCAGGGGGCTGCATAGTGGGTGTAGCAGTAACACAATGCTCCGCAAGGCTGACCCACATGGGAAGGCTCCGGGCTTTTGTCCAGAGACATCCTTGGACATACCGAGTGCACATGCCCGTGGTCCAGGGCTAGCTGAAGCTGGAGAGGGATGATGGCATGGGGCCTCTGCTGGGGATGCCTGTATCTCTGCCTCTCTGTCTCTCTCCTTCTCTGTCTCTTTCACTTATAGAAGTGAAACTAAACCTAATAAAAACACCTCATTTGAGAAGTGAGTATAGTATAGATCACGTGTGCACATGTGTGTATGCACACACATGATCACACACATGCATTTTGTTTTGAGCAATATCTTTCAAGAATATTAGAGTTTGTTTCTGTGAAGGGATGAGGAAACTAGCAATCTGGGGTAGGAGGAAGACCTCCGTACACGTATGTATGTATCTCACCATACTTCATAAGTGGTTTATCATGTGTCAGTATGAAAGAAATACAGAAAGTGTATATGAACGAAAAGGAGAGAGATCAGCAGATGGCATGGTGGTTAAGGCACTGGACACTCAAACATGGCTGACCATGGTTTGAATCTTGGACCTGGTGGCTTGCTTTCTCACTTTCCCCATCTCTCTTTCTCTCATCAAATTAAAATAAAATGAATGAATAAACAAAATCAAAATAGATAATTCCTAAAAATAATTAGTTAAAAAAAAGGAAAAGGAGAGAGAAGAGAGGGCACAGAGTTTTTTCCAGGGTCACTGACCAACAAAGTCCCTCAACACAATCACTGAATTTGCATTGTCACCCCTTTCTTCCTCCCCATCTTAGTAAGTTGCTGCCTTCTCTCAGATCCAACTATGCAGCTCTTCCCAGAATTCCTTGTGCTACTACATCTGTGAAGGCATAGCAGGCAGTGTGAAACTAGGGGTGAGTGACAATGAGTAAAGGCCCTGTCCCGGCATTGAGCAGGTGTGTCCTGTCGGCAGAGCAGAACGAGGCACCACCCAGGAGCAATTCTGAAACCTTTGACCATTGTGCACAACCACTGAAACACTTATTAGCTGGAGGATAATGGGCAAGGTCAGGCTAGGGGAGGGTTACTCCTCATTTTCTGAGACTGGAAATGTTTACCCCAACTAATCTCAACTTCCATGGGCTAGCCTTGGAGACTGAGCCCCACAGTGATATAAACAGCAAGGTCAAAAGCAGGTTGATTTGAAAGATTCATGAACTTCCAACTCATTGAAGGATTTGACTTCAACTTGATTCCCAAGACAGGAGACACTGATGAACCTGATTTTAGGATAGGCCTATTATTCTTTCTACTTTGTGCTTCTATTATTCTTTTAACTCTCTGAGTAACAAAGCTCTCCCTGGACCCAGTGTTCTGAAAGCCAAGTAAAGTGTTCTATTGCTCAAATCAAATAAATAGCGCTCTTCCATTTCCTTTTTTTCAAAGAAAAATCAGGTCAACTGATAGGTTTTTTTTTTTCTTTTAAGTTTTTCTTCCCTTGAAGGTTTCTTAAGCCCCTGTCACAAGCTAATGCTTATTCATTCTAGAATTTTTTAAATAACACAATAGCTACCTGATTTAACAGAAATTTAAATATTAGCCATTTTTCTTATCTGTGAAATGAAAGGATTGGGCTAGACATTCAGGGGCCTGTAGGTTTCCTTTAGCACCCACACACCATGCCCCACTGTCACTGGGCCTGTTGATGATGTGACATTTGTCTGAATGCTGGGCCCTTGCTGAGAACTAGGACAACACTGGCCAGTGAGGCCCCCAGCCTTGGAACTCTGTCGCCCACGACCTTGCTTTAGATAGCCCTATCCTCAGAGAATAGCAGCAACTCCAAGTTGGAGGAGACTGAAGCACAGCTGTTCTTTGTCTTGTGTTTTCTGTTTGTCTGTTGGTTTGTTTGTTTGTTTTTAAGAGAGATTTTTACTATAGTGCACTTGTGCTTGCTTGAGAGACAGAGAGAGGCAGAGAGAAAGCAAGAAGTCACCTCCCTAGGGGTGATGGTCACACTGCAATCCCTTCTCCTCCACTCTCCTCTCGGGATTTTAGGCATGCACACACAGAGGCCTGGTGTGAGTTTTAAGTTGTCGGATCTGGGACTTGAGCCGTGGTCGAATATGTGGGAGTCCAGGGATGTAACCATTACATCATCTGCTGGTCCTTGTCTTTTTTTTTTTTTTAACAAATTATTTATTTAATTTTATTTATTCATTCATTCATTTTAATTTG